AATTCACGATACGGTGGTCTGTTGCCAGTCTTCACTTGGTACATATTATATGCATTGAGCATTGAAATGTCCATGAGATGGAAGAAAAGTTTCATGTACCACTTGTAACTCTTACGAACACAATCAACGAAGCCAATCTGCATATCACATTTGTCAACCAACCGCATGTTTTGTGTATAATCAATCACTGTCCACTGGTTTTCGAATATGTTCATTAGTCATTCTATCAACTTTGCCACTGTCTTGCATTTCATTATGGTGAATGGTTGTCAACAATGTGACATCTCATTTGTCATGCCACTGTAATGCCATGATGTCATTGGCAGTAAACACCTGCACCTCATCACCACGAGCACATGCATTGAACCTGGGCATATATTTACAATTAGAACGCACTGTGCCACACACATCTGTCTTGTTCACTCGCAAGAAATTACTGAGCAAAGGGCTTGTGTACCAGTTATCGGTATATAATGTATGCCCCTCACCAAGATAAGGTGCCATCATGCTTCTCACTACAGCACCTAAGATACCCAATAACATCCTGGTATCTTTCCTACTTCCCATGTATACAGCAATATCCAATACCAGGCCACTGTTACAGTCGCAGAGCACAAACAGTTTTATACCAAAGCGTTTCATCTTGCTCGGTATACACTGTTTGAATGACAGTCTACCTTTGAACAAAATCAAAGATTCGTCAAGTACAGGTACCATCTGACTTACTACCGAGTTCGGTTCCGAGAAACCGGTCGTAAGTCGAACTTTACTACTGAATATCAACATCACATTTTTGTAATGACTTTATTTTATAGTTTTATTTTGGTATTTTATGTTTTACTTTACTTTTTATGCTGTTCAGTACTGTATTTTATACTGTAAGGTTAAGGATAAACACTGTGTACAACACAAATAGTTGTTCATTTCCCAGAAATTTGGCATAAAAAACACTGTCGTAAGTTGAGTGGTTGTATGTCGAGCAGGTCATAAGTCGGATGGTAGGTGTACAAGATTCTTGAATGGATAAAAGTACATGTTGAACTTTTCTTTCAGACACATAAAAACATTTCTAATCTTGTATAACCTGTCACTTCTGTCAGACCTGGTTTTGTCAGAGAAGTGCAACATACGTAACAGTAAGATAAACATGTTCACTGGGATGATTTCAATGAAGACCGGGGTAGAAATTAGCCGATCTGTGGACCAGTATGCTTTTATATTATGCTTATAGACATGAGGCATAAGCATTATTGTTGCAAAAAGCAAATACATTTCTGCAACAGTTGTCTTTTTCCACCGGTGTAGTCTTGACTGTGGTGATATGATCATATTTGCCATGGTGTATTCAAAATACTTGTTACTTTCCCTGACAATAGTTTCCATCAAGGGCTGGTCAAATAATAATTCAAAAAATTCCAGTTCATTGGCAGTGGTTCCAAGGGGACAAGTAGATAGAATTCCACTTTGAGAGTCATCAAAGTGGTGGGGCTTGGGAATAAAATTGGGATTTTGCTGCCAATCCCAGATATGGTTTGCTGGTGGATACTGGACATCATAGGCTGGTTGTGCTGGTAGTTGTGGTTGTGGTGGGCTGGTGGCTGATGCTCCGCTTTGTCCTTGAACTGAGGAGTCAGCAGCGTGGGTCCAAGCCTGGGCTGGTGAGTCACGCATGGCCGTGGCACTACCACCACCTACCACCGCCTGTGGTCTATCCATGCCAAGTGTAGCCACATCATCCTCACTTTCACTGTCTATTCCTGGTGTAGGGCCACGGGATGTACTCCAGGATGTGCTCCGTCCCCTGGGCACTGCATAGGGAACACTACCGAGCGCATGCGATGGCGTATATACCGATGCTTCACTGGTGAATATGTTTCCTCACTATCGCTACTTGAATGATCGTCAAGAGCAATAAAATCACAATCCACGTCACTATCATCATCATTACTGAAGTCAGAGGCCTGGCCATGCGAAAATAATAGTTTTCTCTTGCGATGAGGTACAACTGACCGTGACTGAGGAGTGACCACACCAGAGGTAGAAGGATGAGGATCGTCAGGGTTTTCTGCACTATTATCGATATCCTGGTCATTCCTCTTGGTCACTAACCGATCAAAGCCAAAGAATTCGTCTTCATTTCCACTTCCATTAGAGTCAGAACTATCAGATAGGAAGAGGAGAGTCCCAATTTTCCTTGGAGTGAGAGCTGCCTTGTGACGAGGCATGGTAAACAAAGATAACTGAGCCGGCGTTCCCAAAATGCTATGCGGGCACCTAGAATTTTTGTTTACGGCCCGCACACACCACGCAGACCCGTTCTCTCACATGTAGGCCTATGAGCGTTTTCGCGCTAAATTTGACGCAGCTAGAATTTTGGCGTAGATCTATGTTTTGGACCCTGAACGTAAAGCCGTAGGTCTACAGGACGGACCCTGAAAGTGTTAGGGAATTTTGAAGTCTCTAGTCAAAATGTGGTTAACATTCGCATTAAAATGGGTATTGCAATGGAGATATATTTTGTGCCAATGGGAAAAAACTTTTTGTAAAGCCCCCTTTAAAAAGAAATCAAAGAACCTAACCTAGTTTGCATTAAATACTAGGTTAGAGTAAAACTGTAGTAGTTGGGTTGGAATTTTATTGGTAAAAGAAAAAAAAAACCCATAGGCCCAACATATAACTGTTTCCACTGCACATCCTATTCAATATTTTAGAATTTACAGTCTCTGGAGAAAAAAAAATTGGTGTGCAGCACAAAAATGAAGTTGCCGCTGATCGTATATCAATCATAAAACATTATAAACCTAATGAAAGCAAAAGAAGTGACTAATGTTGATGTTTTGTATTTTGTAAGTTCCTTAATAAAGATCCCTTAGTAGTGTGTATTTTATGAATCCATTTTCCATTGGCAGAGACTGTACAGAGTGTATATACTAAAAACCCAACTAGCTAAAAATAAATAAAACTTCCAAAAGAATTTTTTAATTTATGCAAAAATAATAATGTCTACTACAATGCCCACTTACTATTACACAAACCATAAATTATCACCTACATATCTCAATCTTTCTTCATATAATAGATTCACTGGATTAATTTTGTCATACTTACTTCTCTATGTTTTCCAACGAATTTATGTTCGTTCAGCAGTAAGTAGATCAGAAATGAACTGCATAATCAAAATATGGAAATGTTACATGCTACAGTCATGGGTAAATAAATTTAAATAAATGCAGATTAATGTAACAATAATAAAATAATAAAACGAATGACATAGCACACCTGACTGTAGGTCAAGCTCTCCTTGCATATCTGGAGGTGTATAGATCTTGAGAGCCTCAGTCTTCGCAGTGGTGATATTGGCACGAGCCTTGGAGATGTTGCCCATGGCGTGATATACTTGGCTCAAGCACAAGCATGCCTGTACAACCCAAACAAATCTTGCTTATTACCTTCTATTTGCATATTACACAACAAAATAAAGGGTAATGAATCAAGACTATAAACCTGATACAAAATAACCAGATAATTAAACTTATGAGAAGTCTACATACAGTACTAAGTATTATATTTTAAAGTGCACACATTTTAACACATTGGCTATTTCCCGAAAAAGAAGAAACACTTTCATCATTCACTCATTCCATCGCTGTCTTGCCAGAGGGGTGTCGTTACTACAGTTCAAAACTGAAAATATCCTCACTCCTCTTTCAGAGTGCAGGCTAAATATATGCACCCTAAATATATGAAGTAACAAGAGATGAAAGAAATAATTAGTACAAGGGAAATGGAGAAGAAATCGTCCTCTTTATGTAATGTGTGTCATATAATGTAACTGAGAGCAATGGGCTAGTAACACTATCCTGCATCAAATACAGTGGTCCCTCAATAATCGTCCGGCCTGAAAGTCGTCCATTTCGGAAATACATAGTCCTGTTTTTTCGTCAAAATATTGGCTAGCAAATGGCCCAGTAACTCGCTAATAGTCCTTCGTCCAGGACGCGTACTCACGCTCTGAGCTGCCTCAGCCTTTCCTTCCCAGCCAGTGTGCCATTGTTTACCAGTGAGCGACGGTCCCCTCAAGTGCTCCAGTGAAATATTGCATATTACATTTATTTTAGTGCTTGTAAGTTATTTAAGTGCTAAATAAGCTACCATGGCTCCAAAGAAAGCTCCTAGTGCCAAGCCTTTGGTAAAGAAGGTGAGAAATACGACTGAATTTAAGAAAACATCATTGAACAATATGATAGTGGCATACGTGTGGGCGAACTGGCCAGGATGTATAACAAATCCCGTACAACCATATCTTCCATCATAGCCAAGAAAAAGGAAATCAAGGATGCTGTTGTTGCAAAGGGGGTAAATATGCTGACAAAAATGAGATCACCAGTACTCGAAGATGTTGATAAGTTATTATTGGTGTGGATAAATGAGAAACAATTAGCAGGAGATAGTCTTATGACGTCGCTTATTTGTGAAAAGGCTAGGCAGTTGCATGACAATTTGGTAAAGAAATTGCCTCCAACTAGTGATGATGTGAGTGAATTTAAGGCCAGCAAAGGCTGGTTTGAGAGATTTAAGAAGCATACTGGCATACACAGTGTGGTAAGGCATGGTGAGGCTGCCAGTTCAACCACAAGGCGGCTGAAAAATATGTGCATGAATTCAGGGAGTACATAAACAGTGAAGGACTGAAACCTGAACAAGTGTTCAATTGTGACAAAACAGGCCTCTTTTGGAAGAAAATGCCAAAGAGGACCTACATTACTCAGGAAGAAAAGGCGCTGCCAGGACACAAGCCTATGAAAGACAGGCTGACGCTAATGTTCTGTACTAATGCTAGTGGGGATTTCAAAGTGAAGCCGTTACTAGTGTACCATTCTGAAAATCCCAGTGTGTTCAAGAAAAACAATGTTATGAAGGGTAAATTGTGTGTGTTTTGGAAATCTAATAGTAAGGCATGGGTCACGAGGGAAATTTTTGTAGAGTGGTTCAATGAAGTGTTTGGCCCTAGTGTGAAGAATTACCTCCTGGAAAAGAAATTGGATCTCAAGTGCCTCCTAGTAATGGACAATGCACCTGCTCATCCTCCAAACTTGGATGACCTAATTCTGAAGGAGTTTGGGTTCATCCAGCCCATGAACCAGCAGGTAATTGCAAACTTTAAAAACTCTACACCAAAGCAATGTTTCAAAGGTGCTTGAATGTGAGCTCAGACACTCACTTGACCATACGAGATTTTTGGAAAGAACACTTCAGTATTCTCCATTGCATAAGCCTTATAGGTAAGGCTTGAGAGGGAGTGACTACCAGGACTTTGAACTCTGCTTGTAGAAAATTGTGGCCAGATTGTGTCCACAAGAGGGATTTTGAAGGGTTTGGGGCTGACCCTGATGAGCCTATGTCAGTTGTTAAATCCATTGTGGCACTGGGGAGTTCCATGGGGTTGGATGTGAGTTTGGAGGATGTGGAAGAGTTGGTGGAGGACCACAACGAAGAGCTAACCACTGAGGAGCTGCAAGAGCTTCAGCAGGAAGAGCAACAGATCGCAGCTCAGAATCTTGCTGCAGAGGAGGAAGAGAGATGGAGGAAGGTGCCTTCTTCAGAAATTAAGGAGATTTTTGAAATGTGGGGTAGGATGGAAAGATTTATGGAGAAACATCACCCTAAGAAGGATGTTGCAAGCCATATCGGCAACTTGTACAGTGACAGAGTCTTGGCCCATTTTAGGGAAGTTTTAAAGAGACGCCAGAAACAGAGCTCTCTGGACAGTTTATTTGCGAGACAGGACTCCAGTGACTCAAGGTGGTCCTAGTGGCATTAAGAAACAGAGAAGAGAAGTAACCCCAGAAAAGCAATTGGTACCCGAGGTGTTGATGGAAGGGGATTCCCCTTCCAAACAATAAATCATCCAATCAGTCTCCTTCTCTTGTCTTCCATACACAAAGAAGAATCACCAATAAAGGTAAGTGTTATTCTGTTAATGTTTAATTCATCATGTGCCACTGTATTGTTTATGTACTACATCTATATTTCATGTAAAATTTTTTTTTGTTTTAATACTTCTGGGTGTCAGGAACGGATTAATTTAATTTACATTATTTCTTATGGGGAAAATTGATTCATAAATCGTCCATTTCGATAACAGTCCCACTTCCAGGAACGGATTATGGACGATTATTGAGGGACCACTGTACGTGCATTAAAGAGGAAAAGCAGGGAATATTAATATTTGGTTGTTTGAATGTGCATTGCTGTAGTACACATAAGAATAGAGAACTGATAACATTATGAATGAAAAACTGGATGTCCTAGCACTAAGCTAAAAGGTGTGAGAATATCAGTGGGGAAAGTAAATGGGGCGAATTAGTGAGAACTAGTGCTAAAGAAGTAGCAGCAATAATATCAAGTGATTAGGTATGAAAGGATACAGGGGATACAAGTTTAAATTCATGATTATATGGGTTAGAATACAAATGGGATACAAGAAATGCATTATAGTAAGTTCTATCAAGTGTTGTATAGTACCAAGAAAAAGAGGTTGGGGGGGGGGGGGGAGGGAGAGGGAGGGGAGGGAGAGGGAGGGGGAAGAGAGAGAGAGAGGGGAGAGAGAGGAGAGAGAGAGAGAGAGAGAGAGAGAGAGAGAGAGAGAGAGAGAGAGAGGGGAGAGAGAGAGAGAGGGAAAAGAAGAGAAGAGAGAGAGAGAGAAAGAGAGAGAGAAGAGAGAAGAGAGGAGAGAAGAGAGAAAGAGAGAAAGAGGAGGAGAAGAGAGTGGAGAGAGAGAAGAGAGAGAGAGAGAGAGAGAGAGAGAGAGAGAGAGGAGAGAGAGAGAGAGAGAGAGAGAGAGGGGAGAGAGAGGGAAGAGAGAGAGAGAGAGAGAGAGAGGGGAGAGAGGGGAGAGAGAGAGAGAAAGAAGAGAGAGAGAGGGGGAGAGAGAGAGAGGAGGAAGAGAGAGAGAAGAGAGAGAAAGAGAAGAGAGAGAGAGAGAGAGAGAAGGGGGAGAAAGAAAAAGAGAGAGAGAGAGAAGAGAGAGAGAGGAGAAAGAAGAAGAAAGAAAGAGAGAAGAGGGGAGAGAGAGAAAGAAAAGAGAGAAAGAAGAGAGAAAAAAGAAAAGGGGAGAAAGAGAGAGAAAAGAGAAAGAAAGAGAGAGAGAAAGAAAGAGAGAGAGAAAGAGAAAGGGGAGAAGAAAGAGAAGAGAGAAAGAGGGAGAAAGAAGAGGAGAGAGAGAAAGAAAGAGAGAAAAGAGAAAAGAGGGAAAGAGAAAGAGAGGAGAAAGAAAGAGAGAGAGAGAAAGAAAGAGAAGAGAAAAAGGAAGAAAGAAAAAGAAAGAAGAGAGAGAAGGAAGAGAGAGAAGAAAGAGAAAGAGAAAGAGCGGGAACTAAGATCAACAGAAGAGGTGAGAGAAGCCACAAGACAAGCTATGGAAAGGGGGAATTGGCAGCCCTTGATGAGCTCGCCACAGATGGAATGACTTACAGGGGGAAGGTGACAAATCAAAGTGAAAGACTGGACACATCTTAATCTGCAACAAGAACACATTCCTCACGGCAATATGTGACAAAGCCTACAGATCAGCCTGTTTTTGCTTGTTGTAGAGAGGCTGCTACTGCTAAGTACAAAGCAGGCGAAGGAAAGAGAAACCTACCACCTATAACAGAACTTGACATGCAAGCCTTAGGCATTGGGTGATGTTCAAAGGGCATTGCTAATGGGGGTGGGCACTAAAAGAAAGTTAGCATCAGGTAGGGTAGGTCCAAAACCGGGGGTCCCTGGTCAAGGACCAAGGTTATCGCCTGTGAACTTATTCCCCTCTAAATCGACAGGTGGGACCCCCTTTTATAGTAGTCAAAAGAAGGCGGCCTCTTTTCTGAACACTTTGCTACAAAGCAAGTTTCCCATCCCGCAAGGGACCCTCCTTGGAGCGCAAGAACTGTTCAAAACTGCAGTGGTGAACAAAAAAGGAGGAGGTGCATTTCCCTTTTTAAATCACTTGCCAAGAAGGCTGTGGGCCCCAGACAAATTTAGCAAAAACTGTTGAAAGAAGTGCAGACCCCGCTAGCAGCACCTCTAACTCGCTCTTTCGCATGTAGTACAGTGTAAAAGGCCCTCTCCATGGAAAAAATCAAATGTAGCCCCGTTCACAAAAAGAAGAGCAGGCAAAATCAGAACTAAGACCCTGTCCTCCCGTCAACACTGGGAAGATCTTTAGAAAAATCTCAAGACAAATGACAGATTTTTTTGACTACCACCATACTTTTTGATCGTCAAAAAGGCTTCAAAAGGTTACTCTGCTGCTGATTGTGTTAAAACCCTCCACAAAATGGCACCCTCACTGGGTGAATCAAAATCAGCTGGTGGTTTGACGGTATTGTGGGGCTTTTGACCAGGTGTGGACTAGGGCCCCTTTGCAAAAATTCAAGA